TTGCTTCAGATTACACAAAGTGTAATTCACAGCTCGCCCCAAATGCAATGCTTGACTGCTCACTGCATTTGGAACACTCTCTAGGTTGCTTCTCCACACAGCAAGCCAAAGCCTCGATCTGGCTAATGAGCAGAAATGCCACACCAAGTTCTCTCTGTGTATGATTAGAGCCACAGAACCATGCCTGGGTGTCATGCCAGCAGGCAACCATGTACAATCTGTAATAGTAATAACAGTAAGAAAAGAGGAGATGTGTCTGTCCAAGGATGTAGGTTCAGGACCGTGAAATCCACATCTAAACCTTGGCATGTACACTAAGCGGACACTAGGAATGCAACTCATGTTAGATTTTGTAAATATACATTGATTCATTTAAATCCATTTAATGTCCTCTGAGCATTTGAAGCTCTCAGTACCATCTTCAGTCACTAGGGGGCAGACTTACCTAACTGGCTCATAACTTTATAGTCAATTTGTGTAAGCTGCCCTGAGGCTCTTGCAAAGGACGGCATACAAATACCCTAAATAAGTAAGTAAGTAAGTAAGTAAGTTTGAACCAGGTGAGAGTACTCTGAGGGCCACAGTAATATGTCTGTTTTCTGCCCTTGCTGTGGGGCAGCTACCACTTGGAAGAATGGACTGGGAGAACCCTCCTGCAGGGTATCACACTCAGGTGTGCCAGTAGCTATGGTTTCATGCAGATGGAACAGGCACAATGTAACCCCTTCTGACAGCTGCACTTGCTGTATCAGAGTAAGGGCCATTTTCATGTGAAGCTAGTGTAAAATATGATCATACTTGAAGCTCTTGCAATGCATAATGAAGCAATGACAGGAACACTTCAATAGGTGGCCTGGTTAATAATAATGGAATTCACAGTTTCCTCTTACAAGAATGCGACATGGCAAACCTCAGGCTCATGCTGTCCCTCCTCCCAATTTGGTCTCAGTTTCTGTTGAGCTAGGCACAACTAGGATAAACCACCATTTGTTGAGTTTTGGTCAATGGAGGAAAAGCTGTTTATGTAAAGCCAACAGCTTCTGACTTCAAGAATATGGATACAAGGAATGCGAACAAGCACCACTGCACTTTCTGGCACTGGGAAGTCATGGTGTATACTCACATCTGAACTGGGCCAGTCTTTCAACCCATATTTCAATCATCTTTTTAAATCTGGTGAACTGGGCCTTCCCACCTAACCCTAGCATCTACCTAAGCTTAAAATATCAAATCCTTCTTTCACTTCTGCATTGTTAATTCTGCAACTGTAATTTAAATAATACTGCCAATTAAATTGACCCTCTTTCTGTATTGTGATAATAGGGGAGCTGCTGATAAAAATTCCCTCTGTATTTTCTGGAAGCTTTGAGACTCAGATAAGGTTCTTTAAGAATGTTAACAAAATGACATGGAATACTTTTAACTACATTACTTATCATTTCAACATGCATTCAATTGAATTACAGCAATGCAGTATGAGGCTGGGTTCAACATGTAAACGGAAGGAAAGCTACTTTCTGATTTCATCAGAAGCTCTTTTGGATATTGATCCATGTTTGACAATGAAGGGAAAAAAGACATCCCTGCATCACAATGACAGTATTCTAAGGTTAGGGCCAATGTGCACATAATGTGCAGTTGGATATAGCTTTGTAACTTTTTTTCTTTAGACTAAAAAGCAGAAATGGGAGTAGGGAGAGAGGAAAGTGGTACTTCCTTAATTTGTGAGCTATTTTTTCTGCTCTGTTGCCAATGGGAACAAAAAGAAGCTTTACAATCATTTCTAGAGGAAAAAATATTTGAGATGAAAGGGTTAAGAATCTTCTTACTAAAAGCTTTCTTTTAATTCAGTCTTACTTGCTGCTTTTAACCTTTTTTAAATGTTGGAGCAAAGTTACATGTAACAGTATATCATGTGACATGCAGATGTGGTTACCATTTACAATGGCTTATGGATTTAAGCAATAAACATCTTGGTGGTGGTGTTATAGTAAGAGAAAGAGTATTTTAATAAGTGTAACAAGAGGAAAAACAACCTCAAAAATATTTGTATAACCATTCGGCAAATAAATGAGGTCTTCAAACATGATCACAGATGACACTTAAAGCTGATACAATGAAAAATTGATGCAGTTGATGAGTTGGGCCTGTTATATTTAGGCCCTTAGAACACTTAAAAATCATGTTATACTTTGAAGAAAGAAAAGAACACTGTTATTAATACATAGAACCATGTAATCATTTTATAAGGTAAAAGCAGAATATGAGAGAGATAAGTTGTTCAAGAATTGCAACAGGCTTCACATTTCTGGGAAATATTGTCCCCCAGTCATAATTTCCTTCTTGAACTTCTAAGAAGTGAGCATAGGGTCTCTTTGAATCTTTAGCTATGATCACAAAACTACCTCCAGGTACAATTTATTTGACATCCATGGAGGGCTCCTGAGCATCACACAGCAAGAATTAATCACATTTTAAGTGACAATGTTTTCAGCAAGAAAGTTTAAAACACACACTTAAATTCCATTAAAATAGATTCTATCAAATTGATTTACATTTCCTTAATTTTGCCACCCTTTGTTTTTTCCATGTTTTTCAAACATTCCTTTGAATCATTATGCTAACTGCATTCCCAACGCTAACTAAATATGTAAATAAATAAGCGAATGAGTGAAAACATTCTTAGGTAACATTTAAAAGCTAGTATAATTACTACAAAGGTTGACAGATGCTACATGTCATTGTTTGGCACTCTATATCCCTAGGAAGAATAAGGTACTTTTCATTTTTGAAGGTACAGTTAAGGTATTGCAGCTCAGAGCACAAAGAATGCATTGGAATTACATAAATACTTGATTTGGATAGAAAGAAAAAAAGCTAAAATATCTAACAATTAATTCAGCAAACAGTGGAAAACAGTCGTAATGAACACTGTCCTGTTTGTATTTATAATTAAATGTAACCAATTCCTTGGGGGAAAATCTTGTAAAATTACAATTAGAACTTATAAACTATCAACTTCTGGCTGTCAAACTGAAATAACACATAGTGATTAACAATGTTGCTAGACTTAAATTCTTGTTGAATTTCATTTAACTTTTATATCTCACTATCCTAGCATACACAATTTTACAAATTTGTCTTCTTCCTCCTTCTGAAGGATAGACGTAGGATTAGTTTTCCTTATTTTATAAAATGCTGTGTCTGCAAAATCATATCATGTCTTCATACACATTCCAATAAATCTGAAGCAGTTTGCCTGAGTTCACAAGCAAGCAAACTAGCTAGTTCTGATAACAGAGATACGTAGATAGCTGCAAAGTAGGTTGACAACAAACAGATCTATCCAGGCTGAACATGTGCTAATGAATGCCTTACCAAAATATTTTCACAACTACTTCCTCCTTTGATTTGCTTATGCTTTTTAAGCTAAAAGGTACTGGAAATGAGAATTCTATTTGTTCCATTTAAAACATTTTGCATTGTTTTAACATGAAAAGGCATCCAGCTCCAATACTGAGGTGCATCCCTACAGCCTTTGTTCCTCTGATGCATGTTCCCAAGAACAGCCTGGACCATATCCTACATGGTATTACTGAAATACTCTACCAGTTTATGTTGCAAGAAGTGCTTACTTCCTCGAAAATATTCTCTACAATGTTTGCACAGAGAATGCAAGGAATGTTCTTCACAAAATATTGAAGGAGACCTTCTGACTGGGCTATGCTCCAAATGGACACTTGAAGTCCGGTTCCTATCATCACTCTCTACTCCTTGCCAGAAGATCTTGTCCTGGCAAGGACAAGTGTAACTCTCTAGCTGAATAAGAATGTGTAAATAAGAAACAACACAGCACACTGGCCTGAAAATCACCTGAGCTGCTCAATTGGGTTACTCTGGAGAACAGTGGGAGGTCTGGGTGTTATTTTTGGCCTCTGGATGCTGCCTTCTACATGCAGACCATACTCCAAAAAATGGAGGGAAAATATTCCACAGAGCATTGCAGTGCTTGGAAAGTAAAATATTACCAATTGTGTGACTGGTATAGAGAAGTTTGGAATATAGCAACTGATGATAAATTAACTTGTGATATTAAAGTGAGAAAAGAACATATAAAGAAAAATAAGTTTAATGAGATTTGGGGCACATTTATTGAGTATGTGTTTAAAAAGGGGGAAGGATTTGAACCATCAAAAGAATCACTGCAGTTTTGGAAGAGGGAAATGAAAGAACGTTTGAATGAGTTTTTATACGTGTATATCCTATGGTCCTGGTGGTGGGGGGCATGGTATTTTTAAGAATTATTGTAATTGTATGTTTAATTTTATATATGTTTCTATTGCAGTTGTTGTTTTTTTTTTGGTTGTATTTTAGATGAAAAATTAATTTTACTCTTTTAAACAGCTCTGCAGTGCTAAACAGGATGATTGGCTATGTTCTTTCATCCTCAGTGTTCTGCAGCAGCCATGGAACACTAAAATGTCAAATTTAGCAGGACAAACTAAGCATTATCCTTTTAGCACTCTGTAGTGCTAAAAGCACAATTCCGAGGATTGTTTGTTCCATCTTTTGGCTTCTGCTAGCACAGTGGATGGGGTGGGGGGAGGGCAGGAGCACCAGAGTTGGCGTGCAGCCCAGAGGCCACATACTGCCACCCATGGTTTAAGTAGATGTCTGAAAAAATTCATTGTGTTGAACACTGAAGCCATCCAGTTTCTACCTGTCTCCACCACTTTCTTGCCAGTTGTTCCCCTTCCTTCCCCAAGGTGGAAAAGCATATTACCTTAGGAAAGAGTAACAGAAATTGAAGAAGTAGTGTTTCATTTACAGGTGAAGAATGTGGCGTTTGCAAGCCCTGAGAATCTGTGGCTGCAAATGACAACAAGTCCCAGGAGCCCAGGAAGGGACCTTGCCTTTGAGAATTTGCCCTGGGATTTGTGGTTTAAGATGAAAGCACCAAACAAATATGGAGTCAAAGACAGCAACAGATAGAGACTCACCATTTTCTGGCTGGTCCTTAATATCAGCTTCACTTGGCTGGCTTGGACTTTCAGACTGACTTGAATCTAAAAAGCAGAGAGATGGCCACAAATTACAGAAATCAGTTGTGGAAAGGTGACAGATTTTCACAGTTGAGAATTCAAATGAAATATATCAAAATCTATTTTTTCAGGCATAGGGCAGAAGCTAGGTAGGCTAATGTTTATTACATCATTTTTGATTTCTTTTTGTTGCATAACAAACTCCATAAAATCGAAAAGCAAATTTCAGAAACACGTCTGATGTTATGAATTACATAGCCTGCCAGAGATGTTGGCTTTTTAGTCCTGTTATTGTTTGAGCATGTAAGATTCCTTAATACCGTAACATTGTCACAATTTTCAATATGCTAACAGCTTGCTATTGAGACATTAACCTTTTGTATTATTGACTACCTTTGTCTGTATGAAGGTTCAGACTTAATAAGCTAATTTAATTCATGGAAAATTTTCAATGAATTTCAGCTGGAACAAAGAGCTATGGGGGACTGAAAATTAGAATTTACTTCCTAGTCCTAGAAACCAAATCTGTTCCTACAATGAGAAATCTCATTCTCCATGTCACCCTTCCTCAAACTTTTGCCTCTTGATGTTTTAGACTGCAGCATCCATAATCCACTGGCTATGCTGGTTGGAGATAGGACTTCGACATGTCTAGAAAGAGCTAGGTTAATGAAGGCTGCTCCAGAAAATCTGTGGAGCAACAGTTGTCTCTACCGAATAGATTTCAGTTGGTGGTATAAACAAGATAAAAATGTACAAACAAGTTAGAGAAATCAACAGCTTAATATGTGAGCAATAGAAATTTGTAGTAAAATCAAAAACTTGTGATGCAATCCTAGCCAGACTTCCCTGGGAGTAAGGCTTCACTGAAGAGGCTGTGACTCATTTCCAAGCAAAAACACCTAGGACTTGGCATACTGATGCAGCTCTTCAATCCTGGCATCTGTACTAGGGAAGGTTCGCAACTCCCATGTTGGTATAGTTCCTATTCCACTCCAACTTTTATTTCAGCTTTACAGGAGCTGTCCATGGCACTGAACCTATTTTGGGCAGCATTCAATATCATGGATAGCTTGTATAAAGCTTGAAAAAAGCTGCATTGGATAAGAAGCTCCAATGATATAGGTGTCACCAACCTTCCCTGATCTGTAACAACATTTATAAACCCTGACCAACACAGAATTACATTTCAAAGTGCTCTCTATTCATGTCTGGGCACCAACATGTACAAGAAGAGATCACTATTTTGCAATATATATTACAGGTGTGGTGTGGGGACATGGGCTTAGAATGTTTGGAAATTTAGACCACCTGGCAGTGAACCCCGATTGCAAATGCTGACAGGATTGGACCCAAACCAGGTCCAATGACAAACAAGAAGGAACCACCAGTTCTGTGGAACCCTGAGGTTTGCGGAAGTATAAATAATACATTGTGAACAAATGTAAAGGGAGTAACCCATCCAGAAAACAGCCAAATCAGGGCCAATATTTATTAGACAAACTGTTTGTGTAAGTGATGGGATACTACTTGCTTCAAGACCTTGAAGCTTAAAATACTCTTTTCTTGGCTTGCTGAAGCCCTGAAGAGAAATGCTACAATACTTTGCAGGTTGCAGGTCCCAGTGGTGTCTAATTGCTACTGGGAGAGGTCTATGTTGGAAATAAACTCATAGTTATGCTTTCCTTGAAGCTTCAAGGTGCACACAATCTAATAAAAAAAAAATTAAAGGTCCTTTCTTTTGCAATGAAGTGGCATTATCTCCCTTGAGGTATTAACAACACTGAAGAAGCACTACTGGTGACTTTGGGTCAAACTGTGATAATTTATTAAATTTTTAAAAGTAGTTTTGCTTTTAAACTGACAGAAAAAGAGAGAAAGTCTCAGGTTGTCATGATAATAGATGATGATGATGATGGTGATGGTGATGGTGCTAATATCCCTCACACTAGAACAGGATTCATCTTGGAAGCATAATTCTACAAAGAACTCTGCACACAATTTAAAAAAAACTCCTGAAAAAGTCTCAAAAGTATATAATATAGAACCAAAAGGTGCTGAGCTAATTCGCGGAAAAAAATTACATCTATATTTTTATATACCCTGTGGTTTCTAGCATCTTTTTTCCCCACTGGGTTATTTGGATGTCCTCCAGTTTTGTCTGTGGCATTATTGGCTTTTAAGCAACTAAAGTCACAGTCCAGTTGGGATACACGTAAGCCTCCAAACTTGGAGTATTATGGGGATCCTATGCAGGACATAAGGAGCATGGACCTAAAAGTCCATGAACCTTTCCACTTCTCCTGCTCTGCATGGGATCCCCACTTAAGATGAGAAATTTCAGAACATGCCTCAGAGTGTAAGCTGAAGATGCTGGCATGTCACCAGGATACTTCATATTGTGGTGGTGCCTATCTCTTCCCCTCTACCTAGGATATTCATAAATGCTCTTTCCCAAGGTTGCATTTGTGACCTCACAGAAGCAGTTAGCATGGATCTTTAGAGGAAGTCTTTGGAGCAAGACTCCAAAATATTCTCTGGCCATCTAGACATTGCCCAGCAGCTATAGAATTGAAATGTAAAACTTTTAATTATCAACCCACAATAAAGAAAACTTATTTGAATATTCATCCATGGATATGTTTTACTGCAGTGAGAAAAAAACTTTAAAAAAGCCAAAAAAAATCCAAACAACCAAGCATAAAAATAGATACAATATTCATATATGTACACTATTGCATCTAAAGTATTATTCAAGTACATTTCAGGAAGCAAAACTATGGTTAGAGGATAATGTGGTAGAACTCAAGATTAGTATCTAGCTCAGTACCTTGTGTATTGACCAATAATTTTTTACTGATTTTCCTAAATGGAACCTGAAAGATTTTAAGTAATGTTAAATTGTGCATTTAGCACTGTATTAAATTGGAATAATCTGGGATAGCATTATTATTTGATAATCTACAGTGAAATTGCTTGCAGGTAACAGTCTATGGCTGTAATCCAACGCAGACTTACTTTGAAATAGTTCCTATAAAACTTAGAGGCACGATGATTAGGTTACCTGATTATGATCATATGATTAGGTTATATGATGTATGGTTAGGTTACATGAATTGTTAATTAACTGGAAACCATTGCATTACAGGAAATTCATGCCAGTGGGCTACACAACTTTAAATAAGGTCAATATTCAAAAAGAGCAACTTAGTGTATTTCATCGCTATAGAAAGATTACAGGACACAGATCAGAATACACTAGAATGTTACTATCTTGCCTATAATTTAAGTAACAAGAACTGATTAGCAACAAGAAACTCCTTGCTTCCTTTATCTAGATACAGCTACATCCAGAGCTATCCATCCATCCTGTTTGCACATCCCATTGTAAGAAACAAGTATTAAATAGCTGACAGTATTTGAAATGTTGGGTACTTGTCAACATATAATTATATGAGTGTTTCATTTTTCCATGTACAATATAGTTCCATGTCCATGGAGTCTGCCATGTCTTTTTTTTTTATCCAGCGTGCTTTTGGCTCTGGCCTCTTGGCAGAGCAGCAGAGGCAGAGGCTGGGAGAGAGCGCTGAGTGGCCAGGGGACTGGCGAAGGCAAGGTAGGAACTGGGCAGGGGAGGAGAGGGCAGGAGCAGCAGAGAGGAAGGGGGCGGGGCCAGAGAGGCTAGAGGGGCCAGGAGGGAGCAGAGGGGTGGGGCGTCGTCCCTTGTCTGCGTCCCTTGGCTACGGCCCGGGCTGTCCGGAGACTCCCTTCCCTGAGACACAGAGGTTTGATTGTTTGTTTGTTTTGTTTGTACTGTGCTTTGTTTTTCTTCCAATTTAAATTTAAGTTTATTTTATCCTTGTGTGTGTGTGTGAGTGGGTTTTCGTCTGGGAAAACTGGGCGAGTGAGAGGAACTGCAGGACTAACAAGGCAGGGGACCAAGGTAAGGTCTTGGAAGGGATACTGATGGCAGACCAGGAGATGGCCTTGGCGGGAGTCACGGATGTCACTGTCCGCTGCGACAGCTGCGACATGTTCGCCCTTCTCCCCCAGGAGAGGCAGGGATACACTTGCCCTCGGTGCAAGATGTTGACCCTGCTAGAAGAGGAGGTGAGGTGCCTGAGGGCCGAGAGAGCTCTCTAGGCCCCCCCGGAGCAGCCCCCCTCTGGACAGAGGGTTGAGGGAGGGACCACAAGAGAAGCAGCTGTGGAAACATGGAGGTATGTCACCCACAGGAGGAGGAGGCCAGCACGGCCTCCTCCTCCTCCTGGCACCAATCTGAAGCTGGAAAACAGGTTCTTTCCACTTGGGGAGGCTGGGGCTGATGAGGCCTCGGGGGACCAGCAGGACCCCCAGCCTGAGACGTCAGGCGGCAAGGGGGCCACTGCAGGAGAGACGAGGGCCAGGACACGGCTGCCCACAAGCACCAGGAAGGTACGGCGGCGGGTGATTGTTGTTGGGGACTCCCTGCTGAGGGGCACTGAGGCGGCAGTGTGCCGCCCCAACCTGGAGACAAGGGAGTTTGCTGCCTGCCGGGCGCACGCATCCGGCATGTGATGGACAGAGTGGAGCGTCTTGTTCGCTCTGGGGGTCACCAGCCGCTCCTGGTGATCCATGTGGGCACAAACGATGTGGCCAGGCAGGGTGTGGTTGGGACCACCAGGGACTTTGAGGCCTTGGGGAAGAAATTCAGGGAGCTGAAGGCCCAAGTGGCCTTCTCGTCTATCTTACCTGTCCAGGGATTTGGGCCAGGAAGGGACAGGAGGGCCTCCGAGGTGAACGACTGGCTTAGGGTGTGGTGCCAGAAGGAACGCTTCGGGTTCCTCGACCACGGCTCTCGTTTTCTTGCCAATGGACTTCTGGCAAGGGACGGGTTACACCTCATGAGGAAGGGGAAAAGGTCCTTTAGAGATGCTCTAACGAGCTTCGTCCAGAAGACTTTAAACTGAGCTGGGGGGGGGGTTCAGGCCCCCCAGTAACGTGTCTGCACTGGACAAGTGTGGGGGGAGGATCGGAGCTCTGGG